ATCAGGGACTCTCCAATTTGTTAGGCAATTGTTCTATAATTTTTGGCACCAAGATAATCCACATGTTGAAAAAGCAATTAATCACTAGTGTTAGTTATCAAGCTATGCTTTTAGCTGTTTCCTCCCAAATTTGACCTGAAATGACAGAGTTCCTGATTTTATTTTTATAATATTCTGATTTGTGAGATCAAAAGTTTAAGTATACCAATGTGGTCACAGTTGACCTGAATTTCATGTTATTAATTTTCTAAAGTAAGTAGATTATAACATTATGTTTACAAAGATGAATGGTATATCAACTGCTAACATTTAGATAAAAGATTTAGAAACTTATAGATTGATTACCTCAGAAATCACCTGGTGTCCTAAAATTAGCATTTTGGCTATTGGAACTTGTATTGAAAATAGGCCAAAATGAGAACTGTATTTTCTATTTCCTAACTAATATTTTGCAAACATAATGACAGAAACACATCAATTATTAAATAGTGGATAACATAATTACCTCATCATAATTTGAGCAAAATTATCTTTTAGTTATGAGGATGAGCAAAAGAGACCATCATACTATGTAGTATATTTTTCTGTCTTCAAACAAACAAACAAACAGAAAACCACATTACTCACCTATATATATATATATATATATATATATATATATATATATATATATATATATATACTCACTATATATATATCTTAGGTTATAGTTAAAACAATCCAGAAATACAAAAGAAACCTTAGAAACTTAATGGTCTATGTTCTGTTAAGTTTATTTAGCTACATGTGGATGCAGTGCAGACTTAGTAATATAAATGAACTCTTCTCTGCATGCATGACTTACACGTCTGTACCTCATCAGTCACAGGACAGTTTTGGAAACTGAACCTCTGCAACATGCAGCACTTCACCTCCCAGCTTTTCTGATTCATTGTAAAGTTACTCATGCTTCTGCTCCTTTGTGTTTATTTTTAAGTGGCTGTGTTTTGGGGCAGTTTATTATTCTATTGTGCAATGTACTGATTTTTTTTTAAAGCTCGTATACCAGGTATTCATACTAAACTTGTGACAGTCTTCAGACTTGATCACTCAAAGGGAGCAAGAAATATTTGGTGTAAGCTTTTATTTTCCAAATTCAGAAACAATGGAGCACAAATGGCTTCTCTTGGCTCTTTTTTGTCCTTGGCAGTATTGTTGATTTCAAAATAACAACCTGAGTGGTATGCTATTCGTAGTCAATGAAAACAGGCACATCAAGACACTCATATAATTGTAAAGTATAACATAAAAGATGGAACTAAATGCCTAAAATTCTCAACAATTTATATAGAAGTTCATATTATTCAATTGTTTGGAAGTAGAATCTCTATATATTAAAACAACCTGGAAAATTTGGAACACGGTTGATTTGTGGAATCTTACTGGATCCACTAACTGGTTTCAATCCCATTCCATATCAACTGACTTCTTTCCATCTCTGCTAGAGCCTGGGCTTGAAGTCCTGCTCCTATTCCTTTTAAAAATTACTTGGACATTGGGATTAAATTTTTTATGACGATTGACATTTCCTGTATATTATCACCAAAGAGTTTGAGAAATTATCTATGAAAAATTTGAAACTGAACAAAAAACAGACTTGACTCAGGAAAAATGGCCTTTTCAGCTCCCGAATAGCTCAAGGCTGTAAGATAATACTTTGCAGGAAAAGGCAACAAACCTCATCTCATGACTTCAGTTTATAAATTATGACTGCAAATTGAATCTTGAGTTGCTAAAAGCTTGATGTTTTAAATAGGAACATGTTTAAGAAAAGTGATCATGAAACTAATTAAAATTTAAAGATATGCTTTAAGAACATCTGCAAAAGACCTTACTTTTAAGTAACTACATTTCAAATAAAATACAAATGTTCCCTTCTGGGGCTATTTTTGCCTAGGATGGATGGCTGATTGAGGGATCATTGTTGGTTGTCTCTGTGGCATCCACTTAACCCATTGTGTAGTACTTAATGCATTTTGGATTACTGACCCCACTCTGAGGTCAAGGGATAGCCTTAACTAACCAGTCATGTGCAATTGGGCATGTCACTCAAGTTAGATCAGAGTGAAGTCAGAACCTTATTTGGACACCAGTGAACAGCTTTTCCCCTTAAGTGGGTGGTGTGGTATAATACCAACTTTGGAGGAAACTACTTAAGTCCAGGTCAATATGAGGAGGGCAGAGATGAGAACCCTGACAGAAGTCTCATCCAACTTATAACTCTGAACCTTGGAGTTAGGTGAGCCAACATTCTATTTATTTAAGCAATTTTGGCTTTGGTTACTGTTACTGATAAACACTGAGACTTCTCAAAATGAGTCCAGTGAAATTAGGACTAAAAAAATTTCTTTTCCTGGCTATTTCTCTTTGTTGTAAGAAGTATTTTCTATGTCACTGAGATATCTTAACTGATTAGTTCACCAATGTAAATGTGGATAATAGTATTCTAGCCTTGGAATGGAAATTGCTAATATGCTTTCCATGGTGACTCTAATGACACTGTACTCTTTCTGGTCAAAATTTTAAACATTTAATCATGACAGTCAGGGAAACCCCAACAAGCTTGTTACTGTTCTTAGCAGGATGATTCAATACGATATTGGTGTTGCTGAAATTTTGGCATTAAATACAGATTTTGGTTATTCTTTGAGGGTAGTCATTTTTTTTTAAAGGGCAAAAAATGGAGGTGAGTTTCAATCATGAAATTCCAAGTATACACTTTTACTTAATGAATAAAACAAGTTGGGCTGGGGTTGTGGCTCAGCAGTAGAGTGCTTCCTTAGCACGTGCTAGGCCCTGGGCTCAATTCTCAGCACCATGTAATCAATAAAAATAAAGGTACTGTGTTCAACTACAACTAAAAAATACACATTAATTAAAAAAAAAAGCAAGTCCAAAAGGCTGTCCCATATATAGTATCTGTATTTAAATGCTAGTTAATTAGCTTTCTCATCTTAACCAGACTGCCTTCTTTCTAAAGCTTATGGAAAACCTTCAGATAATTTTTTTTATTGACCTTTTTGGCAGTATGTGAAATCACTGGCTAAATTCTTTTTTTAAAGGTCCTTTTCTTTTTTTGCTCCTGTGGTCTCCTTTTCTGCCCATTTAAAAATTTTGATGTTTCCATGATTCAGTCTTAGGCTATTTTTTTTAAAACAAGATTTACTTGCATATTATTTCCATACCAAAAACATTCCTTACATTCTTTTTTAGAAAATTAACCTAAAAATAAAGTTTTACCTTAAAATGTTACAGTAACATCAAAAATGTCATGTTCATCATCATGCAAAGAAAATAATCAATTAGCTGTTTTCGTTCATTACATTCACCTTCTCAAAAATGAGGTGGATGATTAAGATGTCATCTTAACCTTCCCATTAATCAACCAAGCTGTTTTATTAATATTATTGAATAAAGGGGAAATCATTTGAAGAATTGTGATCAGTTATTACAGTTTTAAGAAATCCCAATAATATATCTTTTTTAAACTAAAATTCAATACAGTACTTGAATTGCCTCTATGAGCTTAGCTGGTATAAATAAAATCTTGTCAGTCAGCATTTATAGGTTGTATAAAGAATAATTTTTATTTACTCTTCATTTCTTGAGGCCTTATAATGTTTTGCTAGTTGGAATTTTATAAACTGCAACAATTAAAGGGGACTTTCCCCAGGTTTTCAGTGCATTTTGTAGATGCAGCTGGTTTCGGAGGCCTTTCTGAGAGAGCTTACTACAGAAATATTTACATCAGGCTCTCCATTCTTTCACTTTTTTTTGGTATTGGGGATTGAATGAATCCAGGGATGATTACCACTGAACCACATCCCAAGCCCTTTTTAATATTTTATTTAGAGACAGGGTCTCGCTGAGTTGCTTACGGCCTAAATTACTGAGCCTGGCTTTGAACTTGTGATCCTCCTGCCTCAGCCTAGCAACAGGCATGTGCCACTGTGTGGAGCCCCTCTATTCATTCTTTATTACATAGGTAATTTCATCTGGTCTTTACTGTCAAATCTCTATAGAGTGCTTAGAAAAAATAATGCAGAATATTTCTGCTGTTAATAACTCTTTTAACTCCCCAGTGCTATGAGGATCAACTCCAAAGGCCCCAGTAGGATCTACCTTCCTTCTATCAGATAATTATCTTCTATCTTTTATCTGTCCCCTTCTCTGGGATAACTAATCAGAAATTATCCTTCTATTGGATAGGCAGCTTCAAATCCAAAGTGATGATTGGATGTAAAGTGAGAGTTTAGTTGATGTATTAGGCATACTAAGTTCAAGCAGAACTGATTTCATTTCCTTGAAGCTTTCTGCCCCAGACCACCTGTCCATTGTTGTATTCTCCGACTAGAATAGTAATTGCCTACCTATTACCCTTTTCTGGCTACTCCTCCTTTCCTTCAGGTTTCACCTGAACTTTGCTAAGTCCTCTTTGGAAGAAGCGTTTCTCCCAAGAATTCACCAGCATATTTTATTTCTCTCTTCACAATAGTATACTTATGTGCTTGTCAACTAGCCTTAGCCTCCATAGTTAAGTTCTGTGAGGACAGTGGCCATGTTTACCTTGTTCAATTTACTCCTAGAGAGTAACATTGGGCCTGGTTCAGGAAAATCACTGGCAAATATTTGAATACTCTGGGCTATGTTTGTTCTGTCTCTAATAAAGTTACTTGATTTTCAGGAAAATAATCTAGGGTATGACTTGGCTAATATTTTATAGCAACATAAAAATGTTAAATTTTATCTTTACTAACAGACCGTCAAAAGAAGGTATAGGCAAAAATCAAAAGTGGTTCTGGCCATAGTATGTCAAATGAAATGCTGAAATTCATTGATTAATTTAGATAGGCAAGATGCTTCAAAAAATAGAAAGGGTCTAATATTTTTTCTTTCATATTCAAGAGCATTAAAGGATACTAGAAAAATAATGCAGTTTCACCCACAAATGAAACAGACAATTTAATTTTATAGAGTTTTATTACAGGATGTTAATATTCAGGACATTTCAGAGCACCTTATACTTCTAATTAGATTTTTGGTAACTGGTTTTAAAAGTATTACTTGAGTATTTTTCCGCATACCAGTTTTCAGGCAAAAGTACTATCAGTGACTGTTTAAGAGATGTTAATTTGATTAAACAGTTTATCCTTAATAACCTGAGACATCAATCCATGGATGGCTTCTATGGTGGTTTTACAGCTGAAAAGAAAAGACATAATGTCACAAACTGAAAATGGTTCAAACATGCATGCACTTCTCCTCTCATGTTTATCTGTACACTTCCAATATTTTCTCAGTTTCATTCATACTCCCAAATCACACCCATCTGAAGTTTACCCTTGTAATTTTAGACTTCTTCATGTCTTTTAACCCATTTCATTATTTACTAGAACCTTCATACAAGAATGACAATGTAAAATTTGATACAATTCTAAATTGTTAATTTTGTTATTTGTCAGCAGCTTTGGGAAAAGTTCTGTTTTAGAAGACAACTAAAATTATATATTGTTATTATATTTATGAAAATATAATAACATACAATGTTATAAATTATATATTAATGACACATTAATCTGTAATTATAGGATTCTAATATTACATAAAGCCTTATCATTTATTATTTAGAATAATTTAAAAAATAATCCTATGCTTTTCTTTTTTTGGGGGAGTAATAGGGATTGAACCCAGGGCCTCACGCAAGCTAGGCAAGTGCTCTACCAGTGAGCTACATTGCCAACACTTTTTTGAGATGGCATTTTATTAAATTGCCCAGATTGGCCTTGAACTTGTGATCCCCCTGCCTCAGTCTCTAAAGTGACTGGGATTATAGGTGTGTATCACAACATACAGAACTTTGAGCCTTTAATGTTTTAATATAATGTCTCCTAAATTTTTGAAGTTAAAATCTGCATATGAGAATTCTTCAAAGTCTAATACTTTAATATTCAGGTACCATTCTAAGTTAAAACTAGGCTAAACTGTAAGGAATTTGAATCTTACTATTATTTTCAAATTTTGAAAGAAAAAATTAGGTGTGAGAATCTTACATATTTACTCTTACCTGTCTCTTGTAGCTTTGGCAAGTTTATCTTCTGACTTTCGATCATGTGTTTCTAAACCCAACATGAAACTCCCTCGGCCCAGCTGAGCTTCTGACTGCTCTAACTTTTCAGACAAATCGAACACCTGACCAGTGGTATAGTCTGCATTCTGTGGAGAAAATGGCACTCTGTCAGGACATAATATGAAACCTACAATTTATAACCGTCTTCACCTAAAAAACTGCTTCTAAATTTAAGCAGTTAGAACATAGATACTTTTCCTTTTACAATTTTAAGATTAAATTTGGAGATTTTCTTTTTGACCACTTAAATATAATATTTGTTGTTATGGGAGGCTTTGAAATTCACAGAACTGAATCTAGGTTCTGGTGCTGCTGCAGATTAGCTAGGAAGCCTGGGGCATGCTTCCTGGTCCTCTTCTGAAAATGGGAAAGGGTAGCAACAATTATTATATAAGACTATTGAGAAAATTAAATGAAGTTTAATATTTATATATAACACTCTTAGAATTGTCCATGGCACCTAGAAAAGGCCTAATAATTGTTAGCTAAACTTTTTTTTTTTTTTTAAAGAGAGAGAAAGAGAGAGAGAATTTTTTAATATTTATTTTTCAGTTCTTGGCAGACACAACATCTTTGTTTGTATGTGGTGCTAAGGATCGAACCCAAGCCGCACGCATGCCAGGCGAGCGCGCTACCACTTGAGCCACATCCCCAGCCCTGTTAGCTAAACTTTTAAAACTAGTATTTATGACAATATTTTAAAAACACTTGTTTTAGACTTTGATTATAAAATTAATAGTTATCACTGAAATATTAGAAAATGTAGAGTAATATAAAGAAGAAAATAAACCTACCTGTAATCATTGCACTCAGCTATAAGTACAGTTATATCTTAGAGTAATGCTATATTCTCACATGCATACCTACTATTTGGAAAACTGATTTATATTATTTTTCTAGAAAATGACATCCTTTTTATAAAGAAAAATTTAAACAGTTACATATGTACAGTTACACTTGGTTATATTTACAATTTTTTAGTTGTAGTGTAAAATATAAAAAAATTCACAAATGCAAGTTGCAAAGTATGTTACATTTCTTTCCTAAATCTTTGATAGAGGAGAATGAAGATTAATAAACAACTTGGTAGAAATAAGCACATTATCCTACTTGTTCAATTTTTAAGATGGTATAAGGGAAACAGATTTATCACCTAACATGAGAAGTTATTTGCTGTCATCACAGCTATCAGAGGGCCCTTTAAAATGTTACTTGTTCTTCTAATGATTTTACAAATTTATGATATTGTTAAAAGATGCAACTATGTTCATTCTGTCTGGATGTAAGTGGTTTAGGAAATAAATACAGTTTTACACCACAGACTTGGAAAAAAAACTCTAAGGCTTATAGACTACTTCATATTCAGAAGATTTAGCTACTCAAGCCATGAAAATGTGGGACACTAGAAATAGCTATTATTAAAAGTATAATAAAATATACCCAATTACATTTCTCATTTCTGCTTTTTTTAAATACCCAATTACATTTCAAATGCATAGAGAATGAACATAAGGAACTAATTTCCTAAATTAGAAAATAACTTTTTTTTTTCTGGTAGCCTTTTGGTTATATACTGTAATTAACTACTTTAGCTGGGAAAAAAAGAGAAGCTGAATACATAATTCTATATTTTTTCTTAAAATGCTATAATTATGTAAAACCACAAAAAAGGAAAAAATGAAATTTAATTTTTCCTGATTATTAATATCCTTGTATATGCAGTACTACAATACAGGGATAGCCACAGGTCTGAGTAGGTTGATCTCTTTGCCTTTACACCAAGGCTCAGACTGCTCTGGTCTTGAAGTGTTTTCACTGCTTGCCACCAGGTGTCACTTTTGGCTGCTATTAGTACATTTGCCTCTAAGGAAACAACACATAATAAGCATTTACCAATGTCTGGCACAAAGGAAACAATGTTTACTTACTACCCTGATCAATCTCTTCTTTCTAATCTACTACTTCTGACCCCTGAGGATAAGCAATAAGAACAGAAGCCTTGTCATAACTGTGTTTACAATCATTGTAAATAGGCTTAAGTGACATTTTTCTGTATACATCAAACAAACAAACAAAAAAAATCATTTATTGAGGCTTTATTATATGCCAGGTATTCCACCAATTGCTTTATATTAAGTCCTAAACTTTTCAGTATACTTAATGATGTATATAGCATTATAATTTTACACCTGAGAAAGTCTCAGTCATATTAAATAACTTTCTGAAGGTAATCAGAACTAGTAAAGAAAGTAGCAGAGCTGTTTTCAAATCCAGTTTATTTTACTCCAAACCCCATGGTTCTAATCACTATGTACACTGCACTTACTGAAACAGCCTTTTTTTTTTTTTCCCCTCCCTGGTGCTGGGAATTGAACCCAAGGCTTCATGCTTTCCAGGCAAGCACTCCTCCACTGAGCCACATCCCCAGCCAAGAAATAGCCTACTTTTTTAAAAAAGTAAAAAACTGTTCTTAAGTTCTAAATATAGAAAAAGCTGTTAAGTAAATGTCTTCCTAAATGTTTTAGGTTTTTGCGATATAATCAGAAAATATTCAGTAGCTAAATATAAATAGCTATTTTTTGCTGCTCACTATCTGTTGCTTTAAAGCAAGAGTCTTATGATCTCTCTTTCCCCATCTTACTAAGTTCCTGAAGGAGCTGCCTCCACCCCAGCCCAGCACTCACTGAATTCATTCCCTTGGCCTACACAAGGTCTAAGTAGAAGAGCATGTATTTTAAGTCAGTCAGAAACAATGAGGCTTTGCCTAAGAATAAGCAGGAGTATGTGTATTTCTGGATTCCCTGGCACACMCCCCCCCCCCCCGCTTTTTTTTTTTTTTTTTAAGAATTTAACCTTTATTTGTTTGTATGTGGTGCTGCTGAGGATTGAACCAAATGCCTCACCTCGCTAGGCAAGTGCTCTACCACTGAGCTACAACCCCAGCCTTTGATTTCCTATTTTGAACATGAAAGGGTAAGACTGGGAGATCTGAGGCTAAAGTTGACATCTTGCTTTCCCATAAACTTGAAACTGAAACTAATCAATAAAGCTGAGAGAGAGAAAAAAGCAAGACTTTATAATATTGCTTGAATGCTCTACTCTGAGACTTAATAACTTATATAACTTTCTTTCCTTTTTTTTTCTGGTGCTGGGGACTGAACCTAGGACCCATAGCATAAGTATGCACTCTACCAGGGAGCTATACTCCCACCATGATTTTCTTTCTTATTTCTGAGTGTCTTATTACTTGAAACCAGAGTCCAAAAGACAACTGATACAACAAATATTTGTATTTTTTCCGCTAGACATCATTTTTTCCCACATATTTTTTTAAGTTGTAGATAGACATAATACCTTCATTTTATTTATTTTTATGTGGTACTGAGGATGGAACCTAGAGCCTCATACATGCTAGGCTACCACTGAGCCACTAACCCCAGCCCCTCAATACATCCCTTTAAGGCAAGCACAGCAGATCTCACCCTGATCTGGCCACTCTATTTGCCATTTATACTTGGTCTCTCTGACATGAGACAGACCTAAGATTTGCCTAGAATTCTGATCTAGCTCAGCAGTGCAGAATCCCATCCCAACCCTCTTGTTGTGGCCAAGTTTGGTACAGCTTTTCTGTGTAAGGGGGTTTCAAATATTAAACAGCTTTTATAGCTTATATAAAATTCAAATGTATCCCTTACAAGTAGAGTACTCACAGTAAGCAAGCTAGAGGAACTCAGTGTATTCACCCAGTATTTATTCCACAAAAGCTCAAGTAATTTGCGATCCAAAGAGGATTTGAAATATGAGACTTCTAAGGCATAGTATCTATGAAACAAAAGCACAAATTGAATAAGTAAAAAAAATTATTCAATTATATCATATAGAAGTCATAGCCAAATTTAAGCAAATTATACTTTATATTAAAATAGTCATGTTTTAGTTTTTAGCCTAACAATAAGAGGTAACCATGTATTCTTTTTCTTCAGGGGTGTGATTTCAAATCTTCTATCTACAAAATTTCTTTATTTTATGTTTTCCTTCTGTGAAGCCCAGAAATTTCCAAGAAGTTATTAATAATCAGACTTTCTGAATGATATGTTTGTGTTATTAAGTTTTGTAACTTCCAGCTAACAGCACATAAACTTAATGAGCTGCTTCTTCAGGATTCACTGTCATTTTTGTTAGCCTTTTTAAATATACTAAAAGTGACATGTGCACTCCTCATTCTTACCTTTCTAATCCCCTGATTAGGGCCTACTACTTTTTGGAAAAGAAAACTTTAAAAGTATGTTCTAAGATACTTAAAATAATCTCTACTGCTTCCAAAGGTGCTTAATTTATAATCAGGTTGTAGCAAGGAAAATTTGGTTAATGTCTGAAAAACATACATAATTTAAATGTAACAAAATTTTAACTATCTCAGTAGGTTATGCACATTAGTGGATACAAAGAAGCACAAGAAACTTCTTTATTAGGAACTCACCATTTATACAGAAGAAGTGGAATGAATCCAAAAATATTAAATATAATGAAATATGTTGAATAACAGTAAGCGATGCCAAAGTGTATATGTAAAAAGAAACAATTACCAATTGAGTATTCAAGATAATGAGTACTCTTAAGAGGATGTGAAGTGGTCATTTAGAGCTAGAACCAGATGCAAAGCCCTAGGGAAAAGGTTGGACTTTAGGGTAACTCTCACAAGAGTCCATGGTGTGGGGCTGGAATTGTGGCTCAGCAGTAGAGCATTCACCTAGCGCGTGCGAGGCCCTGGGTTTGATCCTCAGCACCACATAAAAACAAATAAATAAAATAAAGGTGTTGTGTCCATGGTGTAGGTATGTTGAGAACACAGAAGGCATTAGGTAGAAAGCATCATCTATGAAAGGAAACACATGTAAGGGTAATAAGTGAATTGGTTTGGCCAATTTAGCAAGAGGAGAAGAATACTATGAGGGAAACTTATAATGGCATACTGAGGTCCAGTTGCTGGAAGATGTTATGTAAAAGGTCAAGAAATTTATAATTTTTTATTCTTTAGGTACTTTGGACTCACGGAAAGTATTTGAATAGAGCAATGATATAGCCAAAGGGAGTTTTAGAAAGTTGATTGTGGTAATACCATTAGATGCTAGAGGATAAAAAATGGACGCAGGGATACCCACAAAGGAAGCCATTGGAGTGGGGCAGATAGGAAAAGATAAAGGCTCAGATTCTGGGGTAGTGGTGCAAAGGATAAAAGTGACATGAACACAATAAAAAAGCACCCCTGGGTTTAATCCCCAGTACCAATAAATAAATTAATTGAATAAGTAAATAAATAAATAACCTTTACTATAAGAAAAAGAAAAGCCAATAAACTGCTAATAATAACCTATCATCAAGTAATTTAGGAAATGTATGTATAATAGCCTATGCAAAATGCTTATTCTTTTGATTTGGCACTATGCTTCACTGAATATTTGTCGAAAAATAAATCCAATAATTTACTTGTTCTTATTCTTTCTTATTTAGGAATCAATCCAAAGAGAATGTTTTTGAATATTCTAGCATTTTTGGTTCAAAATTCTAGGCTCTAAAAATGTAGGAACTAGCAAAGTAGCTACTCCTCTCTGATAGGCTACTATTTCAGAGTATCAAGTGGGGTACTTGTCAAAAGAAACTTATTTAAGGAAGACAAAAGAATGAACCAACAGAAAGAAAAATAGGGAAAGGTGCTGTTAGGTTACAGAAAAAAAATTAATATGAAAACATAATTGTTAATCAGAAAAATGATTAGGAGCAATTTCCTTAAACAGAAATGGTCCAAATTCTTTTCAAAAGGTCAAATTAAATGCTTAATCCTAATCATTTAGAGTAGAGGTAGTTATTACAGAAATATGTCAGACATGATTGAAAACCAGAATATTTAAAAACTCAATTTCAGAAAATCTGAATTATCTAAGAATTTCTAAGCAGAAAAATAAGAGCATATGGATAATCAAGATACTCATTGAAGTTGGGATAAGAGGTGTTTTTTAGTGCCCTCTCTTCTATGTGCCTTGCTGTTTTTTTTTTTTTTTAATATTTATTTATTTATTTTAGTTGTAAGTGAACACAGAACCTTTATTTCATTTTTATGTGGTGCTGAGGATCGAACCCAGGGCCTCACGCATGCTAGGTGAGCACTCTACCTCTGAGCCAGAACCCCAAACCTGCCTTGCTGTTTTAAAAGCAAGGCTACAGCAGCAAATAATTCTAATAAAATTCACATGCTCAAGGGGTCAATAATAAGGATGCAAACATATCAGATAGTGACAAGTGCTATGAAGAAAAAGAAAGCAGAGAAAGTAGACACAAAGTGACAGGAAGGCATTATTTTGAGATAGGGTGATCAATGAAAATTCTCTGTTAAGGTGACTCTTAAATAGATAGTCAACAATTAAAACAGTTAGGGAGCCATATGGAAATAAGGAAGAATGTTCCAGGTAAAAGGAACAGTAAGTACAAAAGCCCTAAGACAGAAGCCTGGGGGATCCATCTGAGAAACACTAAAGAGATAAGTACTGCTGGATTGAACCATGGGTTCAGTGCTAAAGAGATAAGTACTGCTGAACTGAACCATGGGATAGTGCTAAGAGATGAGCCTTGAGAGAGTGTGGGCGCTAGACCATATGGGGTTGTGTAGTCTATGGCAAGGCTTAAGGTTCTTATTCTATTTTTTTTAATTGTACATGAACACGATACCTTTACTTATTTATTTATGTTTTTTATATTTTTATGTGGTGCTAAGGATGGAACCCAGTGCCTTCCACGTGTGGGAGGCGAGTACTCTACCATTAAACTACAACCCTAGCCCAAGGATCTTATTCTTGGTGAGATGGAAAATCATTCTGAGAAGAAACACAGTCTCACATTTTAGTTTGGCTGAAAAAACAATTTTAAGAGGCAAAACATATATGCAGTATTAGTTGTGGCTTGGATGAAGGTGATAGGTGATAAGATATATTTAAAAGGTAAAGAAAACTGATTCCACTAGCTTCTTTAACATTAAAATAAAAACCAAAGGCCAAATATTTTGTCTGATAAGTGGATGCTGATCCATAATGATGGTGCAGGGGGAGGAAGAATGGAGGAAAGTTGGGGGGTGGGCAAAGAATGGAGGAACTTTGGATTAAGTAGAGGGGAGGGAGAGAAGGAGAGGGAGATGTGGGGGAAAGAGACATACAATATTAACATATGTACAGGTATAACTGCATGAATGATGTTATTCTACATCATGTACAACCAGAGAAATGAAAAGTTGTGCTCCATTTGTGTAAAAAATGGGATCATGGCTCAGTGAAAGAGCACTTGCCTCATATGTGTGAGGCACTGGGTTTGATTCTCAGCATTGTATATAAATAAATGAATAAAATAAAAGTCCATTTTTATTAAAAAAATTAATAAAAATTTTTAACATTATCCTAAATCTTCATTTTAAACTATTATTTCAAAAGGTGTTATCATATGAAATGCATTTTTGTCATTCTTTTTCTCATCTGTAAAATAAAGGGCTTGGACTGGATGATCTCTGAGGTTTCCTGTGATTTTGGATTCAGATACATTTTTTTAGTTACTTACTGTTTGCAATGTACACCAAAGTCTTCTATTTTGTTGAGTGGAATAGTTTGGTATTCAGAAGGTCCTTCATCAGGAGGTTTGTAGCCCTAAACAAAAATAATACAGAAGATTAAAAAACAAAATAAAATAAAAAACCAAAGATAAATTGTTTTTTTTCTCTGCAGCTTTTTATTTATAGGAGCATTAATTTTGGGGAGATGAATATTCAACAGAAATACTCTTAAAAAATTATATATATATAATTGGCAATAGGCTGGATTTGATTTATAGATTAATTTTTTTTTGACCTTAGGAGATATATACCTATGCATTATCTACTGCAGACTACAAGCTTCCTCCAGAGGAGGGAACTGTAGCTTGCTGTTTCTTTAGTGCCTATCAGAATGCATTGTTACACAAATACTATTAAATAAAGATTACTGACTGGGCGTGGTGGTATACACCTGTAATACCAGTGACTTAAGACGAAGAGGCAGGGGGATTACAAGTTCAAAGCCAACCTCACCAAAAACAAAGTGCTAAGAAACTCAGTGAGACCCTGTCTCTAAATAAAATACTAAAAAGGGCTGGGGAATGTAGCTCAGTGGTTGAGTGCCCCTGAGTTCAATCCTAGGTTATGCCCGCTCCTATATAAAGACTGCTTTTCCAGTAAAATTGATAACAAATAACATAAATGTATTTTCTTTTGTTAAGAGTCAGTTTGTGGTAGTTTGCTACTTTAAACAAACTATTTTAGGACAGAGATACTAGTCACAGCATATCCTTAAAAATAAGCGAAATATTTGGAGTTTAAAAAATTATGACTTAGGGCTGGGACTGTGGTTCAGCGGTAACACACTTGCCTGGCATGTGTGAGGCACTAGGTTTGATTCTTAGCACCAAGTATAAATAAATAAAATAAAGATCTATCCACAACTGAGAGAAAAAAAAAAAAAAAAGACTTATACTATAATCCCAGCAGCTTGGGAGGCTGAGACACAAAGATAGCAAGTTCAAAGACAGACTTGGTAACAGTGAGTTGCTAAGCAACTCAGTGAGACCCTGTCTCTAAAAAATACAAAATAGGGCTGGGGATGTGGCTCAGTAGCTAAGTGCTCAAGAATTCAATCCCTGGTACTCAAAAAAGAAAAAAAAAATTATGTCTTATAATTTTTAAAAATTACCTTTGGGTATGTCCTAAAGGCTCCAAGATTCACTTTTCCTGCAGATATTGTTCTTGTTGGATCAATCTACAAGAAAGATATATTTAACATCTGTCAATACAAATCATTATATACTACTATTTATTAAAATATTATATATCTAGAAATACAAATGTAACACTATGCACATACACAATAAATGACCAAACAATATGAAAAAATAATCAAACCAGAAAGTTTTTTTGAAATGGTTAAACATAGGAATTCCTCACAGGAAATTTAGAGATTACATTTAGTTGTTACATCATTTAGGATTATTATTTGAGAATTTGCTCATCTCTTTTTAAAGGGCTTTTTTTTTCCTTTTAATAGATGAACAATTTTTACTTTCCTCTTAGAATATGGGATTCTATCTGAAACGACCTCTAGCATTTCCTGCTTACTCTAGTCAAAGAACACTGATGGAATACCTCTGATGAGCTGAGTGCTGAGACATGTGTGCTGATTACCCTCATCTTTTGTGGGTAGGGTGTGAGTTATAGAGAGATTAAGTAACTTGCTCAAAGCCCCAATTTTATTAAGAGGTAGAATTCTGATTCAAGTCTTTACAGATTGACACCAGAGCTTTTGCTCTTTAGTATACTGTTTTAAATCTTGTTTTAGTAAATGTTCACGAAGAACTTAATTAAAACTGGTTTAAAAGTACTTACTACCACTGCTACGAATGGTTCTTGGAACTGCTGGTTAAGCATCTGTGTACTAACATCAATCCCAGAAAGCCAGCAGCCATAGCCAGGGTGGCTATGGTACCAGCCAATTGCATTTTCAAGGCGACCAACCT